TCTGTACAAATTGTGGGGGCAAAAGAACTGTTTTCATTCTAGGCCCTGTATATTATTATTTGTTTTAGGGAAGGGTTTACAGATTTACCAGTGCCTCTTAAATCTATAAGCATGGCAAACAAAATAACAATATGATGTTTTTTTCTGGAAAGCTTATTGTTCAGTCAAAAACTAAATGTTACATGTTAAGAACAGAAGTAAGGAGCTCAGAAAGCAAAGACTTATTAGGACTTATTTTGCATCATAGAAAACATAAAGGACTGAAAGGAAATTTAGACCAACACAAGGCAGATTTTGAAAAAAAATCCCTGAAGGAAAGGGCAGGAATTATTATTTAGAGTGAGCAGAAACCATAGAGCTGGCAAAAGACTTCAAGGAAGGGGGAAGAAATGATCTGGATGATCCTGCTGCTTCTCTGTCTCTGTAAGGGGCAGTATAACCCTAGCTTTGAAAATATACATCACTAACCCCAAACCACCCCAAACTAAATATAGTACTGAAACAGAAAATTTTGAGCTCAAAACAGACGTAGCAGCCCTGAGACTACTGAATTTGCTGTACCAATTACCTGTCCACAATATTATATAGTCTCCAACCAAATACTATTAGTGTGGTTCTCAGAGCAATTCAAAGACACTGCTGCACTTCCTCAAATCATTTTTGGATGTCTCACAAGCTTCCAAGAGAATTATCATTCTTAAGGGTAAAGCACAGGAGACAATTTGTTCACATATTTCAGCACAATCTGGTTTTCAAAAATTTGTCGCTTCCATGTCTTTTTGTATCTGAGTTTTTAGATTTGTTTAAAGGTAAGAAAAATCTTCACATTTCTCAAGCACCAGCTTTTTTTGTTCTTCTAAGAGAGCAAAAGAGGGTTTCTAGTACTTCACTAAACCAGGGCTCACTTCTGCTGGTCTGCAGGGAAAGAGGCTGAGGCATCAAAAGCACTGCAGTTAGTGAATTTAATCCTTCCGATGCAATTAGTCTGCAATGTGATCTGATTAAATTTAAAGACTCAACCCTCCAGACCAGTACTTCGGGTCAAGACATAAATAGACAAAGAGGATGAAAGAGTAGGCTGCTGTGAGCTTAAATGAGCCCTGGGCTCCACAGCTCAGGTTAAGATTTCTGAGGAATGCAAGCCAGGTGGATTGATTTAACACAGCATTAAAAAACATCTGGAAAAGAAAAATATGTACATCAAAAATAATCATGAGACAATCTTGTCAGTATAAAATAACCAGTGGAATGTGTGACATATAAAATAAGTTTCTGCACACATACCCACACAGCCACCATCAGCTTTGCTTTCTCATTTATTTAGGGGGACCTGTAATTGGCAAACAGGCCCTCCCTTTCTCATGGGTAACAGAGGAGGTGCTGAGCTGCTGGAGACTTCAACACTGCTGCAAAATAGAGGATGTGTTCATACGTGTTTGTGCAATGGACACTTGCTGTGCAATATTATCTTGTCTCTACAGATAAATTAGTTGCTTCATGCTCCTGCCAGCTTGATTTGTTTAGCCTTTACAGAGTACAGAATCCATGGAGTTTCTTGTGATTGAATCTCACGTAAAAGGTAAACCTGAGAGCTTATTCTACACTAAGCTATACATCCACCCAGGCAGCCAGAGCGTTTGCTGACTTGATGATGAAAAGAAGGCTATAAAACATACCAGGGAAATCTTGAAACGTCGCTCACTTGACATAGCAATAAGAGCCCTGCATTAAGATGCAGAGCTGATTTCCCTGATCCATGAAATTGCCTGGATATTTAAGGCATTCTCAAACAGAACCAGCATGAAACCCACCCTCCATTTCTGGCACAAGGACACCATGGGTTTTGTGTTCTCCAACAAAAAGCTCAAAATTGCAGAGATTAATAGTCTTTAAGGAAGGACCTAAACACAATTTCCTCCTTTTCTCAAGTAACAAGTATTCAAAATCTCTTGAATGCCAAAAGATGGTTTTGCTTGATGACACACTGTTCAGGTGCCAGAGATACTCAAGTTCTCTGTTGTGAGTGGTTCAAGAACCTCTCACAATAAAGCAGTGTGCAATTCTGTGATCATCTTTGGAGAAGGACAATTGTTTCTCTCATAAACAGGTGACAGGGCTGGAATAGGTAAAATAGGTGGAAAGCTATGAAAAATGATATGAAGGAATATATTGCATTATTTTGCTGTCTGAGACTGGGGACATGGTTCAGAATCCCTTACCATGTGTATATTTCCAGCTGCTAAAGGGTGGGAAAAGACCCACCTATACTTAAAAATATTGGTGAGCTGAGGGTCAGGTATAATTACTTTCAAAGACCCATCCAGTGAAAACACACAGTAAAGTGGAATTTCAAGGGCCATAAGCTGCCCTAGAACATTGTCCTGCAGGCTCTGCTACCTTAGATGCAAAGGAGGAACAGAGTACAGCAATAAAGAAACTACAATTAGATCCTGAACAGCTTCCCATTGGGTAACTAGAAAGGGTTTAACACAAGATGCACAAACCAGCAGCTTTCACACCACCAAAAGGGACATGTAACACTGGCAGACAATCTTATCACTGATTTCTAGCCAAAATCACATGGAAAGGATCATCTCCTTCCAAACTGTTGCATAGTTTGCACATATAATTTTCAGCACCTCCATTGCTAAGAACGACCTGAGACTCAGATTCAAGATTTTTCTTGTACATGGATTATAATTTCTTCTTGTGGACAAAGAAGGAGAATTCTTTAATCTTTTTCAGACTGAATTTCTCAGGTTTTGTCTTCAGCTAGGCTGATAGCTTTTCCCATTTTGCAGTAAAATTTTGTACTGAGCAATTGAAAAGTCAGTACTCTTCTCCTGCTTCCTGTATTTCTGTTCCTCCACAGCACATACAGTATTTATTTATATATTTACACAGGTATACAGAATTACAAAAAATACAACTGGAAAAGACTCTTGAAACCATCTGGTATGTAACCCCATTCAAAGCAAAATCAGCTACACCTAATTAGCTCCTGAGATACACTTGCCTACCCTACTTAAACAGTCTCCACAAAGTCCCTGGAATATTTGTGATGTTTTGCTATTTTTACTTTTAGAATGTTTTTCTAATGTTTGGTCTGTTCCAGAAATTTTAATTAAAAGCTCTCTCAGAGGAGGCTGGATTATTGTGGATTCTCATACATTAAAAAAACCCTCAAATAAATCCACATCCAGAAACATGACACATTGAATTTAAGGTTCATAAATAATTTGTAGGTCACATAGGTGTTGTTTCAAGTTTTGTGATTCAGAAAAGTTTAAATGAAACAAGCTATTTATGTATCCACCCTATTGTTCACTTAAAAGAAGATCTTGATCACAGTAATTTCTTTCCTGATTGAAGTTTTGAAAGCTCTAAATTCTCTGAAGAAAATAGTTGTTGGCATTTTTGGATGATAAACATCCCAAAGCGATGATGATAAATTACAGTGTTGCCCAATGATGCAGAAAAGTAGAGAAATGTAAACTGATAACCTCTGATTTATGAATACACACTCATAATTGCAAAGTCTAGGGGTTCACAGTTGTAAGAACAGGTCATTTTCATCTCAGTGTTTATTAAAAGTGTGAGAAGGAGGCATGAAGGGTGGCTGCCATTTTGCAATAAACACTTAATGCTCTTTGTTTCCAGTACAAACCCAAAGCAATACAGAACTTCCTGCCTTTTTAAGGCCTACATAAGCATTTGTTACCATTCACAATTACAGAAGATGGGTATTTTTACATCTTCCTTTGCTCACTCATATAAATAATTCTTCTCACATATAACCATTCCTATATACCCTTTCTTAATAGAGAGAAATACACTTGTTCAAGTTATTAAAATAAATCCTCAGATTTTCTTCGTAAATCATATTGGTGATAATAACAAAATTTACTTCAAAAATAGTTAAACTTATTATTTTACCTATCAATAGACACTGCCAGTGAAACCCACCCAATGCACTCAAAGTCATGAGTCAAGGAATCTGTTTTGTCACAGTACAGAAATAAAATGTGTTACATTCCTTCATCACATCCCAAGCTTGGTGATATTCTAATTTCTTCTTCCCTCTCCCTATTATCTCTCTGTTAAATATTCAAAGCAGCCAGCAAAAGGCAGAAGGAAAAATAAGGTCAATTCAGCAAATTGAAAAAAAAGTAAAATGTTCCTATCCACCATCATTTGGTTGTTACAGTTATCTTAATCAACTCAAACAGGTTCTCTGAGACATCTAATTTGATTTTACAAAGTGCTAACCCATAGTCATATTTGAATTTCCTCTGATTCCAAATGTAAAAAATGGTCTTTATCTAATGTTGAGGCATATCATCTAACTACACATGCAATTGCATTTGCATTATGAGGCAGTGAAACATGGCTGGAGAGACATCTTGGATGTTATCTGTGTTATTACTCAAGTGGAGAATATAATCATAAATCCTTCTCTTCCCTTCCACCCTCCCACCTTTTTCTTTGGGAGTGCACTTAAAATCTGGTTTTTAGCTTCACTGGGCCCATTACATTTGAACTTCAGTAGCAAGAATGTGATATGAATACGTTGAGAGAAATCGTAGACAAAAGGTATATTTTCATTATGTGGTTCAGTTTAACTGTTCCTACAATTAGCTACAACTCATTAGGCAATAAACAGAAAAACAAAGAGATCCTGAATGGAAGGGCAATATTTTATCCATAAAACAAACAAAAAACTAAACCAGATGCCTTTTTCATGAGGCTTTCCTTGCATAAATACACCCAGCAGCTTAGAAAAGATATTTTCTTGATTGAAAATTTTTGTTCAGGAAGAAAACGTGTAAACATTATCTTGTGCAATTTCAATAAAAAGTATTTACTGCTATTGTACACTTGGGTTTTTTATCTCAAGGATAAAGTAACAATACAGCAATGCACTGCAGATGACGAGCTTTGATCTTTTATTAGTTCCTATAATTGTGTGTTAATTTGTATTCTGCATAACAAGCACTCACCTTCACTGTTTGTCCAGCTTCAGGGCCATCCTGTAAGCAAAGGGAAAAGTCTCAGGTTAGAGGATCTAACAAGGAATCACAAATCACACAGAAATTCAGAAATCTTAATAATAATTTACATCAATTACTCTGTCTGTTAAATTAGCATATTTTTCCTGAGGACCATTCAACACTAATTTTTTGGACAAAGCTCCTTTCCATATCAGAACCCAGCAAAGAGGGAAACTGTCTCAAATCACAAAAACAACAGTTTCTATTTTTCATTTTTTCAGATTCTATTTTTCAATAGCTAGCAATAAATTTCTGATCCTTGTGAACATAAAATCACACGTGGAAATAAGAATTTAATCAAACTATGCTTGCTTAAATTCTGATTCTAATGAATGGGCTTAGTCTCCTGGTTTGCTTTAAACAGAGTTCATTTTTGGTATAAAAACACCCAGCACAAACAACTGAAAGGTCAGAATTTATAATGTATTTACATGGCTACAGCTCTCTGCCTGCATATAAATATCTGTGAGGAGTGATCACCTATCTCAAGTGTGTGCAGTGGGCTGTGTGTGGAACAGGGGCTGTGGCTGCCTTCTCTAGAGGTCAACCCTGCAAACACTTTGAAGGAAGACTATTTCCTGAAATACTCACAAACAAGCACACCATTTGAGAGTGTTTGCTGGCTTTATCCAAGGCTTTGCAGTTGTTAATTAACCACACTTTCCCACTGGTTTTCTCTTTAGATTTCTCAATGGCAAATCTGGAAGACTGCAATGCAGTTATTTGGCTTCTTGTCTGTTATTACTGTTATTTTGCATTTATTACCCCTTGAAGTTTCAATGTCCTTTTGTGATTGGACAAGGGGAAAAGGCTGAAGGCTTGATAAAACAAACCATTAAAGCTTTCTTAGCAGACTGGTTTACCAACCTGGATGGAAAAGGTGAGCGAAGTGCCACAGAAATGTTTCTCCACCACGTTCCCGACCCTTTGTGCTGTACAAAACAAATCAGCCACTTCCTCGGGACACAGGTCACGGAAACGCTCCACCGGCCGCAGGGGACAAACAAGGACATCTGAAGGTGGCAGTGTCAAGGCACAAACACAAATCTGAGTGGTCCAGAACAGTCTCAGTCCCCAGCCTGTAACCTGGTTCTGATCACGCTTGAAGCGCCTGAGCTCTTCCTGTCTGGTGATACAGCAAGAGCGTCAGAAACATAGGGTGAATTACAGGGAATTATATGATGCTGTGTTCAGAATTCTTTTCCTCAAACCCCTCAGATATGGGCAAAATTGGTAAGGCTCTTGTGCTGTACTGAGACCTTTAAGGGAAAGCAATTTTTTCACAGACTCAAACTTACCATCGCAACGGAGAAATGCTGGTATTTATCTCCTGTGAAAGTCAGAGATATTTTCTTTTGTGATTAAAAATGGGGCAAAGCCAAAGAAATTTAAGAGGGCTTTGGATGTGTTGTCTGAGTCAGCAGATTACAATGCTTTTCCCCATATGTAATATACATTTTTGAAAATCTTGATCTCACACCTCTAATTTTAGGCACCTAAATATGACAAGCTGGCACTATGCTGATCATAGCAGATCACTTATTTCTACACATTATTTACAATTCACAAGGAATGCTCACCTGTTGTAAGTATAATGAGTTTTTAAAAATACATTAAGATAATTAAGCCTATTTCCTTTAAAGAACAGTGTTCACAATCCTGTAAATATACTTTGATTTAATTCTACCTTGGTGACTGTGATTTGAGAGTCAGTGAAATGAAGCTATAAAGTAAATAATGGAAGTGCACAGATGCTGCTTACAGTCATCTGATGTGCTGTGTTCACAGTAATTAATAACTGCTATGATTCCTCACTTGAAAGTCAATTATGCAACATTATTAATATGGTCCAGAATTCTTAACAGAGCCTCAGTTGTGTAGATCCAACAAGCAAGTACTTGATTCTCATTTCAATTCCCTGCAGACAGGATTCTTTGCTGACTTACAGAATAGAATTTGTAGAATGAAGACCTTAAAGTAACCTTTAACACCACTTGAACTTTCATGACCAAAGGCTATGAAAACTATTTTTTCCAGTATTAAAATAAGTATTCAAAGGACTATTTGAAGAAAATTAAGTTCCATGCCATTGTATTACAGTCATCTTTATTTTTACTGCATCTTGAAGCCTGCAGGTGTTCAGGAATATTCTCTATAATCCAGGAAAGGTAACTAGGAACTGCTCTGCAGTTAACAGGTTCACGAAAAGGTTACATCAACCTGATTGGCAAGAACCATGTGAGACATTTGAAATAAGGAGAGATTAATACATATGAAAGATCAATTATTTCCATAGGCACAGAGACAACATGTTTACATACACCTAGGCTATATTATAAGAATCACACTTATCATTTTGATAGGACAGAAAACCAGACATTTTCTCAAAGTAAAGATGTAGTGGCAGGTTTTGATCATTTTTCTAAATCCAGATGAGAACAGACAAGTCTGTAATGGATATTTGCTATAGTGGGAGCAGAATTGAGCAAGCTCTACCTGTAGCAGCTCCCAAGAGAACAGGAGAAGACTGGTCCCAGCTGTGGGTGCTAATCTGCTTTGAAAATCTGTCTCTCAGGGCTTTTTTTGTACAGAATCAGAATACAGAAACTACTATTCCTCTTTTCGCTTGTTACAGCTTATGTTATTAACATTTAAGAAAGGAGAAAAATATATTTAGAAAGCAGGTACTTGTAAACAAAACAATCCTGGATGGAGACAAAACCCCTAGTTTTGTGGGGTTTTAGTTCTGCAATGCTGTGTCCCTTGGTAAATTACCAGGCACAGTAAACCCTTGTAATTCATTTGTGCCTTCCCAGTGCATTGTACAGAGCACATCCATAAACAGTGCTATTGGCTAAACTTTGGGCCCAAGGGGAGAGCTGCAAAGTTGACTGGCAGACATGATTTCCATACTAGGAATAAAGGAATAGAAAAACTAATTAATTTTACTCATAAAAAGGAAACCCATGTCAACACTAGAACAGGAAAAAGGACATTCCTTTAATCTGAGTTCGTTTTTCCAAAGGAGAGAAGGGAAGCTTGTACCCTTAGGGCATCTGATACTTAAGTAGATAATTATCCTTCTTCTGCAGGACTGCTTTATTATCATGGCTCAATGAACCATTTATCAATGAAGAATTTCCCTTCATTTACCTCTAGCAAAACTGCTGCTTACATTAAGACAGTTTCCTTTTCTCCTTTTGAGTTTTCCCCAGCAGTGCCTCACCAGCAATTATTTGTTCTCTACCTAGCTCAGGGCCACAGCCACAATTTCTGAATTAATGCTGGTTCCTACAATTGATGTTAGCCCTGTACTGTTTGCCACTGCAATGGGTTGTGGAAAACATGAGTCAAACAGTTCTTGGGAAAGCTTTTGTTTCCATGGCACATCGCAGAGGGAGTGAGGGCCACTTCTGACCAAGACAGGACAGGTTTTCTCTTAATTTTGTCACTAATCTGCACTGTCATTTTGCAAGTTCTCTGTATCTCTCTTTGCCTCTCCTCTTCCACACATCATCTGTCTTATCTGCTTAGACAGCACTTGCCAGCTGGAGCAGCAGAGGTTTCTTATTAACCACGAAGCTCTCTGCTCATGTGGGGCCAGCAGTGCTCCTGCAGCACCTAATGCTGCACCCGTGGCATTCTGCAGAAAGGACTTGCACTTCCTCCTTACATTGCCAGAACTCATTTACAACTCAAACTAGATTTTAGCTATATTTCTGTCTTTGAATTCGATAAATAATTCAAAGGCACAATCACAGAATGGAGCATCTTTTCTGAACTTTCCATCATTTCAAAATAATTCTACAAAGAATAATCACAGAAATTCTGAATCAAAGCTAAATTAACATGAGAATGTAATTAGGACAACATTCAAGTTATATTTAACTATGAATATATTAAAAGGAAAAAGTTAGAAGGAATTCATGAATTTGAGGTCATTAGGAAAACAACCATCCACTGCAACTTTAAATCATAGTTTTTAACTAAAATTTTTGATGCTAGGATAGTTTTTAATTTTATACCTGGTTTGATTTTAAGCTGTACACCTTTTCTAGTCACCTCAGAATTCTTACGAAGTTTAAAATTAGATAAACTGTTCATTATTTTTTACAATAACCCACTGCAAACACTGCTATGAAACCACTTCAGGTGACTATGTATTAAAAACATGAGGGAAAGTGAGTCTGTACTTATGTTTATGTGCAATTACTCCTTAGACTGAAGCATCTACTGCCATCTGAGATGCCTCAGGGCATCCAGCTGCCACTCCAGAAGGGCAGGAGTCTCCCATATTTCCTACATCATAACTGCCAGTCAGGTGGGAACCCTGAGTCATCTTGGGGTATCTGAAATGGCTGTAGTGTCCTGCGTGTGTCCAAGAGCCCCCCATTAACAGAGTGGCTCAGCAGGACAAGGGGCTGCCACCCAGCACAGACATGCTGCAGCACTGCTGACAACATTCTGCCTTCAGAAAGTTTGAACTTTAACTTTCCTTTGTCTAAGCACTGTAATTAATATTTTTTTTTATTTTTTCATTCATTCTGAACTGCTACTGACTGATGAAGTTTCTATTTTTAAGCTTTGATGTGCACAGCTGTTATTTCCTTCAAGTTCTCTGAGTCAGTCCACATCACTAGAGCACATGCAATTTAATATGTCAGCTTCTCCATTTTAGGGAGTGAAGAACCTTTACACCTTATTATAACCTGTAACAACTGTTTCTCTCTCTAAAGCTTGCAGAAGTCTCTCAACAGCCTTACTTCTCTCCCTAACACCTAAATACACATACACAAATCAATCTGTGTTGGAAAAATCCCCCTTGGGTTTGTGAATTGAAGGATGTGCTCGCTCGGGATTTTGGGGCATGACTGAAAAGTCAGCACGTGCTAACTGCACGCTGGCTTGGGGGTGATCAGAGAGAGAACCACAGAATCACAAGGTTGGAAGAGACCTTCAAGATCATCCAGTCCAACCTGTTCCCTGACACCTCAGCTAAACCCTGGCACCCAGTGCCACATCCAGGCTTTTTAAACACATCCAGGGATGGTGACTCCACCACCTCCCCTGGCAGGCCATTACAACATTTTTCATGAAAAGCTTTTTCCTAATATCCAACCTATATTTCCCTTGGCACAGCTTGAGACTGTGACCTCTTGTTCTGCCAGTTGCTGCCTGGAGAAAGAGACCAACCCCACCTGACTGCTCAGATTCTATAAGAAAAACAAAACACCTGGCCAACATCTGCATGGTGACCACTTCAAATGTAATTTTCCTTCCACTAATACACACAGAGTGAAGGCTGAAATTCAAAGGCTCAGCAGTAATTTTTATTTGCTTTATATGGATTTTGACTTAGAAGCTTAAATTATTGTAATTGTGTATTTAAGGCCTAGGCCAAGCTCTCTGTTCGCTTCAATGGGACTCCACTCAACCTCACAAAGTGCCTATTATAAATTTTCACACACAACTATCAAGGTACACATGTTCTGTAGTTCTGAAATGTTGGAAAAATGGCCTTTGGGGGGTCAAAAAAGAAAGAAAACCAAAAAAAAAGAAATCCCAAAGAGGTTAAAATTCCTTTTATGTGACAAGCTTTAGAGCTGAACACAGCTTTTTCCTGGTTAAGTCCATTAATTTGCTATATAGAAACACACTTTCAGTTTTGACTCTTGTTTTATTTCTGAATTTGAACTTCAAACAGAACAATTCAAAGCTTTAAAAAGGAAAAAATTAAAGGCTCTCCAGGTACTGACACTCTAACAATAGGAATAAAGTTCTTTTTTTTCTCTTTGTCTTTTTGAAGAACCACTTAAAAACATTAAAATTGACAGGTTTTCTTAATATGTGAGGCTTTAAAAGAACAAAATACAAGGGAAAAAAGGGAAAATATCTAAAAGTGAAAGGGTAATTGCCACTTTATGAAGCTCCTGGGTTTCACCAATATTGTTAGCTTTCTATACCATTTGTTATAAAATTTTTTAACTTAGGAGAATTATTTATTTTCACACAG